TTTCGGCTCTGTTGCAATCACTCAACTTCGTTGGTCTTCATGACGACAAATGTATCGTCCGAGTGGCGCAGGCGCATTTTTGGTTCGAAGTTTTGCACAATATCCTGTTCCATTTGCTGCCAGACTAGTTCTGTAAGCAGCCCCGTTATTAGCGAGCTCATTAACGTGCCATCTATTTGTTAATCGTACTTATACTCGAACTGACAATACTTCTTGAGACAAAGCATTGGCCTGTCTAGGACGTGTTGTGTTGGAATGCCAATGGGAGTTTGCTCTAAACATCGGGATACACTGTCAATTGCTGAATCGTGCTGTATGGAGGAAACGGGGCAACAACATCGAATAAAACGATGCATTCGTCAGTACTTACTTCAGGGCCTTAGATACTTAGTAGGAAAGGCTGAGAAGCTGTAATGTTGTATTGCGATCCATTTGTGAGGTGCTTTAAGTGTTTGTATAATCATTTGTCAAGATTGCAAGAAGGCGATTCAATAAGTGGCACTAGGATACTCAGCGACGCATCTGACTTGTGCACCTTCGGAGGACTGTACGGAAGTGCGATACAGGGGTCACTGAGTGCCATTGATCTGATGTCATTAGGTTAATGGGTTCCAATCGGGCAAATGCACATTCACTTTCTTCTAGAGAGATGTGGACTTTTTTCGTTGGGTCTACAGCGAGAGGCGCACAGGCTTCCCTGTCATGGAAGATTCGGTTTGCCTTGTTGACGTAGTCTGCCTTGTCCATGATAACGGATGCTACTGCTTTGTTAGCAAGCGTAATAACTATTTTGTCACCTGTCCTTAGCGATGGTAACGCCTTTTCCTCTTCGATAAATAGGGTTTGGCGATGTTTCCTTTGTCAAAGGAGTCCAGTAACGCCGCCAACAAAGATCCTACAAGAGATCACAGGCCCTGAAGTAAGTACTGACGAATGCATCCTATCGCTTGATGTTAATGCTGTGTTACTTCCCTACCGCGCGACCTAGCAATTGACATTGCAGCACGGTTTCTAGAGCAAACTCCTATTAACATTCCAACACAGCATTTTCCAGACATACTAAAGCTTTGCCTTAATAATTATTGTCAGTTCGATTATAAGTACTGTCAACAAATAAATGACACGTTAATGAGCTCGCTAATAAGGGGGCTGCTTACAGAACTAGTCTGGCAGCAACTGGAACAGGATATTGTGTAAACCTTCGAAACAAAAATGCGGCTCCGCCTCGTGGACGATACATTTGGCGCCATGAAGACCATAGAAGTTGAGCGATTGCAGCAGAACACAAATAGCGTCCTCATGGCTATACAGTTTACTCGCAAAGAAGCAACAGTAAATACCCTCTTATTCTTAGATATTAGTATATAAGGACTTAGTGATGACAAATTAGCAACCAACGTCCACAGAAAAGAGTCTATTACCGAAATCATCGATTACTATGGGTGTAATCATCATGCGGCCCATAAACGAAGTTGTATCCACAGTCTTTTCCATCGGAACTGCCGCATCTGCACCAGTAATGACTTACTTACGAACGAACTGGCCTTATTTCATCGGTTATTACGGTCCAACGAATATCCGACCAGTTTTGTTAAAAATTGTCCCAGACGCCAGGACAACCGCCAAGCCCCAAGTAAAAGTGAGATAGAGTGTCGCTAAAATTCTATTCACTACCGTACATTCAGGGAAGTTCTGAAACACTCTCCCAGTAATTAAAACGCTTTGGCATCTCCATCGCTCACAAGCCCGTATCGTCCCTCCGCGAGGCATTCTGCCGAGTAAAGGACCCAGTACCCAACGAACAACTTACTAACGTCATCTATCTTATCCCGTGCGCCACTTGCCGTGCTGTTTATATTTGTCATACAGGCCGATGTCTTGGGAATCGCATTAACGAGCACAAGTTAGCCATCCGCCGGCGTGACCCTCCGTCTGTCGTGTTTGTGGACGTCCTTGAATATGATGATAGCTGCAACTGGGACAATACTGAAATTATTGCAAGGACTAACACCAGACAGGCGCGTGAATTCCTCGAAGCTTGGCATTTTGCCACGACCAGCATCAACTGTCACGTCGATCTACACGATCACTACGAAGGCTTAAGTACTCGCTCGCTGCCTTGTTGTCCCAAACTCGAACACATAGACGTATACTGTCTAGCCATTCATCGCCCTCCCTCTTGTGACATGGTGAACAACAACCGAAACCCCTAACATCTCCAAAGCCAGCGCCATGCCCCCTGACCACATCCCACATCAGCGACCAGCCGTCCTTCTTCCCACAGATCCGTAATTCCCCCGCTCTTTCTCGACCCCCAACAGAGGGAGCCCTAAATGTTCTTCCTTCCCTCCACCTGCACACAGCCTACCATAACTCGGTGCCCACCCCCATCACGCATCGGATGTGAGTTTGTCGTCGTCTACCCTGTCGAGCCAGCCGACCTAGCCTGCCGATCTCAATCTCTCATCTGTTCATTTCGTCTTACGACGAGTCAGTGACATCGACTGGAAAATTTAACAGTACAAATCCAATCTCCGAATAGCAATTTCATTTTTTATTATATTACCACGGAATGCAAAACGCATGAGTTATTAAACATATATATATATATCCATTGATATGGTAAAGATTCGAGGTCCAGATATTGTATCCCGTTCATCATCCCCCGAAGAAGACGAAGAAGAAGATGGGGCGAATTCATGGAGAGAGTTATATTTGTACTGACGTTTCGGAAACCCTCTCGTTTCCATCATCAGAGTAATGCGTTGACTGCTCCTGCTGGTCTTGATTGCGTCAGCCTTGATACCTGCCTGGTATTATATCCGAGCGCGAGGCACGAACTTTGACCTGCCCGTTCGCCGCCGATTAGCTTTGACCTCTCCACGATTGACCGCCGGTGGGTTCCTGCCACTAAT